GAGGCGCGCGGGCGTCGCGACGACCTTGCCCACGAGGGCCCGCCAGTCCGGCGGCGCCGCGCGCCAGAAGGGCCGTGCCGCGGGGAAGTCGTTCGGCCGCGACGGCGCGGCGAAGACGCGCCGCTCCCGCGCGTAGCGCAGGAGCGCGGCGACGCCGCAGGCGCCCCCGGCGTCGCCGCGGTCCATGAAGAGCGCGCCGACGTCGTCGACGAACGCGCGCATCGCGTCGCCGAAGAGGAGGCGCCACCTGCGCGCGAATCGACCGTCGGGGCCGAACTTTGAAATCCTCGAGCTCGGTCACATCGACGTCGATTCGGCTGATGTTTGGACGGATCACATGGCTCTCATCGAGCTCTCGAAGCACGGCCGAAGAGCGTGTGTCGAACCATTCGACTACGCGCGCGTTGAAGTCGGGTCGAATATTTGCACACAGGCCGCCACGCGGCCCAGTAGTGCTCGCCGTAGTCCGCCAGCAGCCGCTCGCCCGGCTTCACGTCGCGCGTCGCGAGGATGCGCACGCCCCAGTCCGTCTTCGGGTCGCCGTCGACGGACTCGACGTACTTGACGTTCTGGCGCTTCTTCCGCGCGTACCACTGCGCGCGGTCGGGCCTGGGCAGGAAAAGAGTGATTCAAGTTCGATTCAACCTGAGTGTTCGGCGCGCGCGCGTTCCGGAAAAAGCATCCACGCTTCGAGACCGTTCCGAGAGATGATCGCTCGTCCAAAAATCAGCCGAAACGAGTGGAAAACGGCCGAGAGAGGAGCCTTTGAAGTTGGGAATTTCGCACTCTTTTCCTGCCCTGGGTCGGGCCCGCAGAAGTCGTTGATGAAGGGCGCCGGGTTGTCGAGGCGCAGCGTCGGCCAGATCTCGACCTGGGGCCGGCTCAGCCCGTCGTCGTCCTCGGACTGGCGGAACGCGTAGGTGAACGTCGCCCAGCGGACGTCGTCGAGCGGGCGCGGCGCGGCCGCGGCGTCGTCGAGCACGGACGCGTCGTCGCCGACGAGGACGCCCGGGTAGGGCAGCGACTCGCCCTTGGCGATGAAGGCTTTGGCGCGGACCTCGTACTGGCCCCGGAGGCCCGCGTCGCCGTCGTCGCCGACGAGGACGACCTCGCAGCGATTCCGGAAGCCCGCGGCGTCGAGGCCCGGCGCGGCCGCGGGCGACCGCTTCCGCGGCCGGCCCCGCCGCGCGCCGGCCGCGGCGCAGCGCGCGCCGAGGCGCGCCAGCGTCCCGGGCTGGGCGCACTCCCAGACCGCGTGCATGGAGCCGGCGAGCGCCTCGAGGCGGGCGAAGCCCCGGAAGCCGCGCGCGTCGACCTCCGCCTCGCCCAACAGCCGCGCGAGCTCGTCGAAGTCCCGCGCGCGCGCCG